AAAGTTTTCAAGAGGCGCTTTCGTCACCGGCCTTGTAGTGATGGCGTGAAAAAATTTGAGTTGCAAAATTTTTGTAGGTGTGAAATTGAGTCCAATATTGGGGCCTCAAATTGATTTCATTTTAGTCTGATGTTTTCATCAGTTTTAGTCAGACTGATTTTTAGACTGATTTTTTCATCACTTTTAGTTAGATTTTTTCATACATTTTGTCCAAGCTGCCTCATTCAGCTTAAAATTTTCTTCACTGGACCAGATCTGTGCCTCCCCTAAACCATTGAACTCATGAAAAAAATCATGCTGATACTATCGGTATTAGTGATGTCCAACTAAAGGAACGTAGAGGCCGGCCTCCTACAATTACATCAGCTTACGATCACTTGTGTCAGACGGCCTACCTGACTTTATCGACATCGTACTGTTGGATCTGCAAGAAAACTTATTAGCAGCTGCAGCATCTTGCTCTAAGCTGTTCAAGCTCATTCCTCACCGGATTTTGAACAGAGCTGCAACTGAAGATTTTGACGATTTGGTAGATTTTACCAGAAAAAAAACTGCCGGATGACAACTTTGGAAGCAAGTTCCAATTGAATGAATAAATGGCCCTTACCGCCTGACAACGCTATGGCAGCAGTTTTCATTGATGCCCTAGATGTCTGGAACAAGTCGACAATTCCAGTCATGTACGTTTTGCTTCGAGTTGCAGCAATCCTTCCACTATTAGTTTGCATTACTCAACAATCCTTCTCCAGTTTAAAGTCAATGAAAAATACCTTCAGTCTAACATGAAGGAAGATCCTTTATCGAGTTAGGCTTCGGTATAAACTCAGCATGAATTGGAAAAAAATGGTCATTATTTCACAGAAAAAATTGCCGCACGAAACCGCAGACTCAAGTGTAAATAAACTTGCATATTTTTTTTGTTGTTTTATGAACTCGATATTTAGCCATTTTTTCAAAATTTTGCCCCCACAGAAAAATCCTAGATCCGAGCTTTTTCACATCTGAACTAAAATTTTCAAAAAAAATTTAAGTTGTTTTCAGCTAAAAAAAGTTTGAGGTTTTCTGTAAAATTTAACATTTGCTGAGCTGTAAATAATCAATCGTTGAATATGCAAAAATTAGTCGTGTAGGTTTAGAATAAAAATCAGGTTTTCAAATAAAGTGAAGTATAAAAGCTGAAGGTTTAAGTTTCCTTGAGTTTTTATCGGTTAATTAAATTTACGCAATAAAACAGTCATTCATTTGCCCATTTCTTAAATGATTAATTAGCCTATGTCAAAGATATATCATCAGTGTCAAAATCAAAAGGGGTGTTCTAAGCTGTTCGACACTAGGAGTTTGACACATCTGACAATTTTTTTTTTCTGATTTTTTTTCAAAAGTTTTGGAAGGCGCTTTCGTCACCGGCTTTGTAGTGATGGCGTGAAAAAATTTGAGGTGCAAAATTTTTGTAGGTGTGAAATTGAATCTAATTTTGGGGCCTCAAATCGAATTCATTTTAGACTGATGTTTTCATCAGTTTTAGTCAGACTGATTTGTAGACTGATTTTTTCATCACTTTTAGTTAGATTTTTTCATACATATTGTCCAAGCTGCCTCACTCAGTTTAAAATTTTCTTCACTGGACCAGATCTGTGCCTCTCCTAAACCGTTGAACTCATGAAAAAATCATGCTGATACTATTGATATTAGTGATGTCCAACTAAAGGAACGTAGAGACCGGCCGCCTACAATTACATCAGCTTACGATCACTTGTGTCAGACGGCCTACCTGACTTTATTGACATCGTACTGTTGGACCTGCAAGAAAACTTATTAGCAGCTGCAGCATCTTGCTCTAAGCTGTTCAAGCTCATTCCTCACCGGATTTTGAACAGAGCTGCAACTGAAGATTTTGACGATTTGGTAGATTTTACCAGAAAAAAAAAACTGCCGGATGACAACTTTGGAAGCAAGTTCCAAGTTAATGAAGATATGGCCCTTACCGCCTGACAACGCTATGGCAGCAGTTTTCACTGATGCCCTAAATGTCTGGAACAAGTCGACAATGCCAGTCATGTACGTTTTGCTTCGAGTTGCAGCAATCCTTCCACTATTAGTTTGCATTACTCAACAATCCTTCTCCAGTTTAAAGTCAATGAAAAATACCTTCAGTCTAACATGAAGGAAGATCCTTTATCGAGTTAGGCTTCGGTATAAACTCAGCATGAATTGGAAAAAAATGGTCATTATTTCACAGAAAAAATTGCCGCACGAAACCGCAGACTCAAGTGTAAATAAACTTGCATATTTTTTTTGGTGTTTTTTGAACTCGATATTTAGCCATTTTTTCAAAATTTTGCACCTTCAGAAAAATCCTAGATTTCAGTAGTTTTCCGCTAAAAAAGTTTGAGGTTTTTCTGTAAAATTTAACATTTGATGAGCTGTAAATAATCAATCGTTGAATATGCAAAAATTAGTCGTGTAGGTTTAGAATAAAAATCAGGTTTTCAAATAAAGTGAAGTATAAAAGCTGAAGGTTTAAGTTTCCTTGAGTTTTTATCGGTTAATTAAATTTACGCAATAAAACAGTCATTCATTTGCCCATTTCTTAAATGATTAATTAGCCTATGTCAAAGATATATCATCAGTGTCAAAATCAAAAGGGGTGTTCTAAGCTGTTCGACACTAGGAGTTTGACACATCTGACAATTTTTTTTTTTCTGATTTTTTTTCAAAAGTTTTGGAAGGCGCTTTCGTCACCGGCCTTGTAGTGATGGCGTGAAAAAATTTGAGGTGCAAAATTTTTGTAGGTGTGAAATTGAATCTAATTTTGGGGCCTCAAATCGAATTCATTTTAGACTGATGTTTTCATCAGTTTTAGTCAGACTGATTTGTAGACTGATTTTTTCATCACTTTTAGTTAGATTTTTTCATACATATTGTCCAAGCTGCCTCACTCAGTTTAAAATTTTCTTCACTGGACCAGATCTGTGCCTCTCCTAAACCGTTGAACTCATGAAAAAAATCATGCTGATACTATTGATATTAGTGATGTCCAACTAAAGGAACGTAGAGACCGGCCGCCTACAATTACATCAGCTTACGATCACTTGTGTCAGACGGCCTACCTGACTTTATTGACATCGTACTGTTGGACCTGCAAGAAAACTTATTAGCAGCTGCAGCATCTTGCTCTAAGCTGTTCAAGCTCATTCCTCACCGGATTTTGAACAGAGCTGCAACTGAAGACTTTGACGATTTGGTAGATTTTACCAGAAAAAAAAACTGCCGGATTACAACTTTGGAAGCAAGTTCCAAGTTAATGAAGATATGGCCCTTACCGCCTGACAACGCTATGGCAGCAGTTTTCACTGATGCCCTAAATGTCTGGAACAAGTCGACAATGCCAGTCATGTACGTTTTGCTTCGAGTTGCAGCAATCCTTCCACTATTAGTTTGCATTACTCAACAATCCTTCTCCAGTTTGAAGTCAATGAAAAATACCTTCAGTCTAACATGAAGGAAGATCCTTTATCGAGTTAGGCTTCGGTATAAACTCAGCATGAATTGGAAAAAAATGGTCATTATTTCACAGAAAAAATTGCCGCACGAAACCGCAGACTCAAGTGTAAATAAACTTGCATATTTTTTTTGGTGTTTTTTGAACTCGATATTTAGCCATTTTTTCAAAATTTTGCACCTTCAGAAAAATCCTAGATTTCAGTAGTTTTCCGCTAAAAAAGTTTGAGGTTTTTCTGTAAAATTTAACATTTGATGAGCTGTAAATAATCAATCGTTGAATATGCAAAAATTAGTCGTGTAGGTTTAGAATAAAAATCAGGTTTGCATATAAGCTGAAGTATAAAAGCTGAAGATGTAAGCTGAAGAAGTTTCCTTGAATTTTTAACGATTATTTAAATTTCTTAAATGATTACTTAGCCTATGTCAAAGAAATATCATCAGTGTCAAGTTCAAAAGGGTGGTGAGCCTTAAGTATTTAGGCTCACTGGTCACGCAAAAAAAACTTACGACGCCAGTTACTATTTTATGGCGCCAGCTTACGACGCCAGTATATTATAATTTTGAGCGCGCCCCAAACAAACAAGTTTGCTTGCCAAAATTCTCCCAAAAAACCCGAAGCTGGCTTTTTTGGCTGATTCTTTGGAAAGTTTACTTGCGGCACGGAAATCTTTTAACAAAAAAGTATAGATGTTGTTTTTGGGAGACATCGGAAAACCAAATCATAAATCATTAAAATGAGTTCAAAACACTTCTCAAAGTATTTTTAAATAACCCCTCAAAAAATCTTAGATCCGTCCCAATGACTACCATGACGTAAATAAAACAAAAATTATAAAAAAGATGCTCCGCTGATTCAGCAAACCCATTTCTATTTCGGACCTCTGACCGTCATGTTTGTGGCTTTTAATCAAATATTTTGAAAATTTATCAATAGAAATTACAATACATTTTCTTTTTGTCTTCATGTGATAAACATTCGTTTTAGCTGATGCACGTGGACGATTAAACAGTTTCCACCAAAAAATGTGGAACGAACAAAGCTTGAAATACTGTAATTTACCGCTCTAATTTACCGCACTGTAAATTGTGTTCAAAAGTTTGGTAAGCTATGTCTTTTATGCGGCAAAACAGTCTTGAATCTTTTGGGAAATCAAAATTATGATGGATATTTGGATGATTTTATGTAATTGTAGTTGTTAGTTACCGTCTGGGTGTGAACGAATTTGAACCAATTTTTAATCAATCATTTTTCAGTTATTTTTGCTCTCTTGTATTAAAAAATAAATTGATGTTTATCAGCGGTAGAAGATAATATGTTACTAGGAATGGTATTTAGTCAAACAATATCGAAAAAAACGAAAAGATATGGTTGGTTCGATGTAAAATAACACGACAGTGATTTTTATCCAATCATGTGATCGAAAAATTGAAAATGAAAAATGAATTTTGAATGGATTGAAAAATTCCAGAGACCATTTAATATATTGAGTGTGATAGGATAAATTGCAACTTAAATAATTTCCCAAATTTGACCAACTCCAGGCATTCACAATTTTGAGCCAATGCTATGATTTTTCAGTTCTGATTTTGAATCATTTTTGCGAGCTTTTGACGCTCCATATTTCCAGTTTTTAATTAATCGTACCTCCAAAAAATTGAAATTTATTACCTTAGTTTAAACTTTTTCGAATGTTTTAATTCGCAAATTGATCACATCTGATTTTTAAAGGGTAAGTAGTGATATGGTTGGCAACCCATTACTACTTGGGAACGCCCCTAGCAGAAACAAGCATCACCTGAGATTTCTGATTCCCTACTTTTGGATTTGAGAACCATTGCGCCCTAATTTAACCCTCCCAAAAGTTGATAAAAGTTTTAGATAGAAATAGTTGGGCAAATTTCGCATCATAAACCCATACAAAAATCAATTGTTTTAGTTTTTAATCTTGGCTGTTTATTGTATTTTCTATCGTAGGGCAGGTGTTGAAATTTGTATAATTTTAACTGCTATATTAATTGAAGATTGATTGTGCGAATAAGTTTGTAAATGTCACTTTCTAATTAGTTGCTTCTGTTATTAGCCCCATAAAAGTGCATAAGGTTCAAATTTTCATCCCGTAATTTTCATTATCAAAGTATTCAGAAATCTTAGCAGGCGAACAAATTTTAATATCTTTTTTGTGTGCCTACCTTTTTCACTTACATTTATTATTCAATTTCCAATCAAATAGAGGGTATTTTATTACTGATTAGACTACAATTTTTCCCGTTATGTCTTCAAAATCTTTCAAAAATGCTTCAGAATTGCAAGGACGTTCAAAATGTATTCGAGACCTGACCATTAAATTTAATGTTTCCGTTTCATTACTTGCTCAACTAGCCCCTTCAATATTAAAATCGTAAAAGAGCTGTTTAATTTCGAATCAGCCGCAAGCTTTGTTGTTCCTTAATATTATCTTCAAAAGTACTTCAAGATGGTATCCAAAACCCGTTATATATTATCATTAAATTTAATGTCCCTGATTTATTTGTTGTTAAACCGACCGTATTTGATCTCGAAAAATTGATAAACTTGTTCAATCACATAAAGCTGGTCACACTTACTGAATTTAAATTCAGGGTGAACCAGATTCCAGAGGGTGTCTGGCAAATTATGTCTGGCAAAGCGGGGACAACGAATCACCAGAACCACGCGACCGATTCCAGTCCTTGGGTGGAATGGCGCCAAGGTTAGTTAATTAAATTAAGTAATTCATGAAATTGAAACCTTTTTTTTATATTTAGACCAATTTTCTAGTACAAGGTTTTGACAAGGAAAGGAGTTACGAGGCGGTTTGAGTTACGTTTTCTCCGGTAAAATTTTCGTTCAGAAAACTTTTTTCGAAACAGAGTTAGAAAACTATTTTTCGGAGTAGATTCATTACGAGGTCAAACTGTTAAGCAACTTATACATTCAACTATGAAACTGATAACCGTACCTTAATTTCAGCATTACTCATTTCTTTTAAATCATATATGAAAGAACATGTTGATGGAAATTCCACATGATAGGTGTGCTGACAACCCTGATTGCCCTATTCTACACCGTCCTAATTGTGGTTTCCATTCTGGTGTGCGTGTTCTCTGTGTTGTCCATCTACAAAGCTAGTCAGACCCCTGTGACCTCAACCACTATACTGCAGCAAGACAGTCCCTACGATCCCCCAGGTGAGAAGAAGTTAAATAACAGCACCATGTAAAAGAGTGTCGTGCGCAGGATTTTTCAGGGCAGGGGTTACGAATTGCACACCGAATACAAACTGGTGCCTAACGCAAATTGTAACCAAAAACTAAATTGAAGCTAAAACTCTTTTCAATTACAGTTTTTTCTCTCGAATAATTGTTATTTAGATCAAATTGGCAGAAAATAGGCGGGCGGATGGAATATTGGGATATCCTTACTCAGGGGCGGATCTAGGATTTTCTTGAGGGGGGGTAGCGGCGGAATTTCAAAAATTTTTCGAAAACTTTGTCGCCTTTTTTTTAAGTCGACCTAATTGATTTTGCGAGTCCCAAAGCACCCTGTTTTGGTATAACTTTCTGCGCTGCAGACAAAACTTTGAAAAACGGGTAAAAAAAGCGTTTTTAGGCACTTTTTGGAAAATTTTGTTCAAAAAATTGCGTTTTTTTGGCGCGCGCCCCCCTCAAAATTAGTATATATCGGCGCCGAAGAGGCGCCTTTAGAAATACATCAGGGAAGGTCACCAATTATGGATATCTCGAAATAGTGCAAAGGGGGACCCTTTGGGCAGGCAGGGGGTCGAATCCTTGAGGGGGGAAGGGTCGTCCGCCCCCTTAAATCTGCCCCTGTCCTTACTCATTGTAACAGACGCAGTTGATTATAATGAACTTCAACACAATTTTATCGCCCGCGCAATACAGTCTTCCCAAATTGCCGACGGATCTCAAATTGATTTCAGACTTACCGAGAAATCACAATTTGTGGCACTGCTGAGCACTTTTCGATATGCCAGTTTTCAAGTTTTTGACACGTTCTTTACCATTGGGATCTTTTTCTCCTCCATCTCACACAAACTTATCGTTTTTCTTAGGGAAATAAGTTATTATACAAGTTTTATGAGATTTCCTTGATAAGCTATTTCTTACCCAGGTTGGCCACCATAAACCGGAAATGCTAATCATACAATTCTACAAGCTAAGTTTATGAAAAAATTCTGGTCAGAAAAAAAGCATATTTTTTTGCTAAAACGGTGTTATCGAATTTTAAAAGTCGGCGCAAAAGTCGGTTTATCGCCATAAAAAAAACTGAAAAAAAAATTGGTAAGAAGTCCTAACTATACAATTTTCATAACAGAAAATTGTATGAGTAGCATTTTTTGATGGCAACACCAAACGTTTTAAAAAGTAGTTTCGAAATTGCACCAAAAAATATAACTTTTGTAAGAATGTTTTATATATTTTTTGTGTGCATAATGTAAATCTGGATACACAAAAATTTAACTTATTTCCTTCTTTAGATAACTTTTTTTGTATTCTAGTTCTAACGCTCTGAAGTCCTAGTTTTTTTGTCTTGCGTATTTAAGTATGCTTTGCGATATCCACAATCAATCAATTAATATTTTAAGTTTGAAAAAATAGATTTATTGAAAATTTTGGCAAAATTGAGAAGTTTGCAATTTTCTCCAAAGTTTGCCTTAGGCATCAATATTCAAGTAGTCTCCAAAGCATTCTACATGCAAGACCATTTAATCATTGATGACTCTAGTTTTGACTGACCAGGGTCTTTGTCATTTGTGTTTGATTACAAAGACAAGCCAAAGATATTCAGAACAAAATGAAATAAAAGAAAAACTTTTCTTTGGTTAATTGAAAATTGCTAGTCATACAGTTTTCATGTATGATAAACCACTAGTCATAGGTTTTTCATGCAGTTTTTTTGTACTAATGGAAATGCATGAAAAGTGTACGACTAGCATTTTCCGTATAAGAAAAATGTATGACTAGCTTTTTTGTTCAACCGTGTATTTGCTACCACTGGGTAATGACAAAAATCCATCTCAATGTAAAGGCCCTAGAAAACAATTTTTTACCAAGATTAAGAAATAAAATTTTCGGGGACAGACTTGATTTCATTGGTTTGAACTCTCACCAAAGGTGTCTGGCGAAAAGTTTCTGCACGGCAAATACATTTTAATAAACGCATCTTGAATGTCTTTTCTTTGATGTTTTTGAGGCGTGATTGGTCAGAAAGAGCAATTTCCGGTGCGAAATTTCTCTCAACTTTGGGAGCTTTTGGAAATTTGAAGGCCAAAAAAATCGTAAATAGTACTAAATGGGGAGCGGGTTTCGGGTAGTGATAGGTTTGGATGTTCTGGCAGACCGCCTACACTTCCGGTGTTGTTTTCGGCAAAGATAAACAAACGTTTCAAAAAAATGGAAAGTTTTTTTCAAGTTTCTTAATAGGAAAGTTTTTTTCGCATATAATTTCACGTACAAAAAAAACATAATTGGCATCTTTTGATGCAATAGTTGACCAATTAGTTTGTCTTAAGTTTTACCAAAAAATTGAAGTTAATCTAATTTTCTAAGCAAAATTTTTACGAGCAGCATTGTTTTTATTTATTGCGCCTGGTTGACTCGATTTTCAAAGAAAGTGACGGAATCTTTGTGCCCGGGGTGGTTTTTTTTCTCTAAACGAATTTTGACTTTTTAACTAGCTATTTTTGACAAAATTTTAATGCATCATTCTAAAAGTAATGGTCTCTTTTGCTCAAATTTAACAAGATATTTCACCCGTGATTATTTAAGGGCTTAAGTATTGTCAATTTGACTAACTTCGGAAAATTAACGCGCGATATAACTCGTGCTATGACCGCGAAAGCAAACACTTAATCATCCGCCATAAAAATTGTTCCAAAATGAATTGATGCAAAATATATCACTTTGCATTTCACATACCGTGTTGGGGAATAATTTTAAAAATAATTATGAAAAAAAAATGAATTTTTTCATTTTTTTTTGTTGAAAATGTGATCAATTATTTTATATTTAAATTATTTTATAGAATCAAAAAACAATCCGAACTTTCAGGGCTTTGTATTGATACGAGCAGTCTTGTTTTTTGTGCACGCAACGCTCAAATTTCTACAAACGAAGCAAACTAATTGCTCAAACCATGCCAAACTAGATTCAAATGAGCTTTTGATTAGAAAATGGGTTTCTCATGACTATGAAATTGGCTGGACTTCATCAGCAAATTTAAAAAAAATTGCTCTTTTGCTTCTGAAAGACTAGCGAGTCCTACAAAGACAATATGTGGTAAAATCAAATGACACAGTTTCATGCTAAATTGTTATTAAATTGCAGTTAAAGCCTCTTAAAATGTTCTAGATTTGGACTGCTTTAGCTAAGGACTCCGCATCAACATCAACAGTTTAATGAACCAGCATCAAATGACTACTGGTTTACGAATTTTCCTAAATTTCAAATTAGGAATTTTTACCCTCGAAGTCTTATACTGTGGTTTTTGGGCCACAAGCAGTCAACAGTTCGAAATTTTGATTAGCTTAAGCAGCGAAACTTGAAAAGATAAAACCAAATGCTAGTTAACTAAAGCGTTTGACAGCTTGTTCAACCGGTTGAAATCGGGCGTTGGAGCTATGAAACTTTCTCTCTGATGTGTTGCTAATTTTCCTTGTTAATCAAAAAAGTTGAGATAAATTAACTAACTAACATCATTTATCCACGAGGGATAGGACCAACATACGAGCTGTACAGCTCATCACGGCGAACCGCTGTTGTGCCCCTGTTTAAGAATTGACCACATAGGCATTTTTGACACCAAAGTTTCCAGTAACAATTTTCGGAAAGTGATTTTCTTAAAGCCGATATACAAAATGTTTCAACCGAGTAGAAAAATTCTAGACCTAAATGCACAAAAAATTTGCCATTCAGATGATCGCGCACTACTTGCACTCTACAAAAAAAACTAGCTTTGTTCGTGTCATTTTGCTGCTTTTTTATTTTGTCCTGTTTTATTTTTGTGATATAGCTCAAAAGGCCATTACGGGGGTTGATGATTTACTGATTGTTGACTTACGATTTACGAACTCGATAATCTCGGTCTACTTGGCGACACTCCGCCAATAATCAGACTACCACGATTTTTGTTGTTCGAGAAAAACATCTATACATACATACAACTACAATTTTTTGAGAAATTATAGAAAAAGTTGAATATTGGCCATAAGTCAAATTCTGTTCAGACCGATCCTTTTTTCTCAAAAATGCTATGAAATTCGATAATTTTGCACCATTTTAGTTGGCCCAAAATAACTAATTGTTGAACTGTTGGCATTTTGGTTATATTCCCATTTAATTACAAAATATAGATGTCAGTCTGATAATTTTGACCTTGATTTCAAAATGAAACTGGTGTTTTCTATAACTCGTGATACATTTAAAAGCCTTTTTTCGGACAGCTCAAATCTATAACATATAATAGCTTTTTTGTGAATTTATTGATTAAATTCAATTTAGTTTTTCTAATGCTTACACATTTGTTCAATTCTCAAAAATAACAACCACTTTAAAACCTGAAGCTGAGTGAACCGGCAAATTGAAAGTAAAAACCTTCCTATTTTCGGTCGCTTGCTTCATTTATTGTCATTTTTTGTACGTCGACCCTCGTAACACGATTTTCGGATAATTGAGCTTGCGAGTGTTCTCACAGTAACAGGCAGTGAAGTCTTAGCAGGAGTTCCAGGATTTTCTGTAGTCTACTAATTGTAAGTTTTTTTTGTGCTTGATTAAAATGTAAATGCAAATCCAAACCTAATTTTATTAAGAGGACTGAAATATTAGAGGGCTCAAGTAACCTCGCAATGAGGTTCGACGGATAATAATTGAATAAAGTAGATTTTCAAGGTATGCCTCAATAAGACATCAAATTAATTGATTATAATGAATTACAAATTGATTATCACCAATCAAAAAAGGAAAAAGTTTGAACCAATATAATCGATTATAACTGATTATAATGAATTAAATTGGATTATAATGGATTTACTTTGACTTACGCAAGAGCCTGGGTTTTCCAAAAACTTTCCTTGTATCTTCTAAACTAGAACATTGCAATAGTTAAATTGAGATTTACATTTGGCTTTTAAATTTTGTTGTTTTTTTATTTTCTTGATTTTTTCTCGTCG